TGCTTACCGTGTTATGTGTTTCAGGTACTAGTGATGATCGCGGGAAGGCGCCGGCATGATCCGTACACACTGGCAGGAGATTTGTTTATGATATTGGGATATGTTTTTATCATGATGACATTGTTAAACTTGAGAATTTGAGAATATTGAATGATTTTTATGTTATTTGAAAAATGAAAAATTGTTTTGAAAATTCACGTCGTTACAGCTCGACAGAAAGCGGTTTTCCAGTGCTTACGTACACCACATGCTTAAAATTTTCTCTTAGCTATCCCTGTAGATGGACTTGGCCAACATATGTCTCTTGTGGAGTATCGTACTATCCTCAAATATCGACTAATTATTCCAATATTCTTAACTGACGAGATATGTCTGGTGTGTTGTAAGGCATGTTTGGACTCTTCTGGAGAGCATGCAGTTAACTGTAAAGAACTCCCAGGGTTCAAATATAGGCACGATATGGTTACTGATGTTTTGTTCAACATATTTAAGCATGTCGGGGTTTCTGCCAAGAAATAGGCACCCATGAATTTCTTGACTTACCTGGTAGAAGGAATGTCAATCCGTAGACTTGCTAACGTTTTATTTTTGGATGGTCGGAGGAAAACACGTATGTGTGGACCTTACATGGGTATCCCCTCTCTTGGGCGTGAGGGCTGAGGGTTTCACGGCTGGATATGCTGTTTTAAAAGCCGTTACATGCAAAGTCACAAAACATGAGAAATCGTGAATGGAAAATCAACACGTGTTCATACCATTTGCATTTGATACGATTGGTTTCCTCGCACCGAATACAGTGGAGCTTCTTAACAGAGTACAATAGATCATGCATAACAATGTTATATCCACTAGATCTATGGATGTAATCTTCAAAAGAATTAGTTTCACCATACACAAATGTTTAGCGGCACAACTTATTGTCCGTTTGTTATCTCAGTCGTTGTAGAATGATAATTAAATTAATAAAAATTCAATAAAAAATATATTTAAAATTCACTTTATTATATAAATTAAAATAAGATAAAACATAGTTGCATGAATAACAATCAATTCTTTTTTCAACTCAATGTAGTTTCCCATCATAAAAGAGGCAATATTATAATTCTTTTTGACATTTCGATTTTTTAACTTAAATTTAAAGAACATTGTGAACTTCTATTTTGTCAATTGATTTAACTTAAATTTAACATAATTGATTTAACTTAAATTTAATATGACTCATAGCTTTTCGATTTTCGGTTGAAGATCTTTTTTTTTAATTATTATTTATTTAAAAAATCTTCAAAAAAGTTTGAATATTTTGATTTTTTTAAATAAAATCCTAAATTTTATTTTTTGAAAAAAAAAACATCCCGACTTTTTAATTTTTTGAATATAAAAACTTAATAACCGGTTAATTTATTCATCTTAGTTAATTTTGACTTACTTAACAAGTCATTGGACCAGATCAATATATATATATATATATATATATATATATATATATATATATATATATATATATATATATATATATATATATATATATATATATATTTAAATAATGAAACTTTTCTGTAGATTTCGTCAAAATTTATATATAATTTACATACATATTTTTTTTACGAATTTATATGTATTTTTACGTATGTATATATATATATTTTTAAGTTTTTATGTGTATAAGTTTACATATTTTATGTATGTTAAATGTATAAACATATATTTTACATATTTATATGTATATTTTACATACTTTTTTATGTATTCTTGTGTTAATTTTTATGTATTCTGTATTTATATATATTTTTACATATTTATGTATTATTTTTAAGTTTTTATATGTATATGTTTACATTTTTTATTTATTTTAAATTTATAAACATATTTTTTACGCATTTATATGTATTTTTAAGTATTTTACATAGTTTTTATTTGTTTTTATGTGTTATTTTTTATATTACATATTGATGTATTTTTCAAGTTTTTTATATAGATGTTCATGTATTTTCTATATTTTAAATGTATAAACATATTTGTTTACGTATTTATATGTATTTTTAAGTATTTTACATTTATATATATATTTTTTATGTATTACATATTTATATGTATATTTATGTATTTTTTAAACTTTTTTTATATAGATATTTATGTATTTTTACATATTCTAAATGTATAATTGTATTTGTTTTATGTAGTTATCTATTTCTTACTTCAAGTTATATTCAACATTTCATCTAATTCGTACAACTTCTTAGAGTATGTTTATATGGTTTTCCTACATACCCACGTATTTTAAACTTTTCCCATTTGCTCATCTTGAAATTAAATATCGAACGTAAAAAGCTTAAAATATGTGGATATGTAGGAAAACCATCTAAACGTACTCGAAGAAAACGTGCGAATTAGATGAAAATGGTGAAAACGACTTGAAGTAAAAAAAATACGTAAATACGTAAGAATAATATGGTTATATATTTAAAATACATAAAAATACATAATCATATATATAATTTTTTTTAAATATACATAAAAATACATATAAATACGTAATGCATAAAAAATATATAAAAATATGTAAAATACTTAAAAAATATTTTTAAATACGTAAAACAATATGTTTATACATTTAAAATACAAAAAAGTACATAAACATATATACAAAAAACTTAAAAAAAAACATAAATACATATAAATATGTAATACATAAAAAACACATAAAAATGCATAAAAGATATACGTAACGTACTTACAAATACATATAAATACGTAAAAAATACATTTATACATTTAAAATATATAAATATCTATATAAAATACTTATAAAATACATAAATACGTAATACGTAAAAAATAACACATAAAAATATATAAAATAGTTAAAAATACATATAAATATGTAAACAAAATATGTTTATACATTTAAAATACATAAAAATATACATATAAAAACTTAAAAAAAATACATAAACACGTAAAAGTAGATATAAATACTTAACAACAGATATAAATACGTAAAAAATACGTTTACACATTATATACAAATTTTAACGAAATTTGTAGAAAAGTCCCAACATTTTAATAAAATTAACAATTTGGTCTCATTAGCTACCAAAGATGTCAAAAAGGGCTAAAATGAACAAATTAGCTGATTTCTGAGGTTTTTTTATTCTAAAAGTTAAAAAGTTGGGATTTTTTTTGTTAAAAAATAAAATTTAGGACATTATTTAATTTTTTTTCATAATATTAAGATTTTTCTAAAGTTTTTAAAAAAAAAAAAAAAAAACATTAGTATTTCTTTCTCTAAAATAAATAAAGAAGGTCTTAATTGTCGATGTGGATAATTTTCCAATTGAAGAATAAAAGGTTACCGTGGCTCCCCCCTTCTGATATGGGCCACGAAAACGTCATTACATGCGTACAACAGGCAACAGCCAATAGGCCCACTAAGCCCATCCCACTGTCCCCACCAGTACCGCCTTGTACATGTCCTTTCGACATTCCAGACGATTGTAGAAAAAAATCAAAATCACGCATTTCTCACTTTTTTCTCTTTCCACACTCGCCAAAGTCTTTAAAGGAAGGTTCTTAAACAAACAACGTAATATATTCCTATCAAGTTATCATCTTAATATTTATAATATAAAAATATAACTATGCGTGTGGTCTACGTGGTTATTGACAATATTTTAATACTGATTTGATACTTGAAGATGGAGCAGATCAATAATGATTTTCTTGATACAAATGTATTGAAAAACAATACAAATGCATTGACAAACAAATAGACACGTATGATTCTTTAATGTATAAAATAGAAATCCACTATTTCAATACATCATATGAAAATGTTTTACTATGTGATAATGTAATTAATTTGAAATTCAGTAAAGGCTACGACGACGTGCAATGGTTTAAATCTTTAATGTATATTTGACTTTAACTTTTATATTATTTAAGAATTAAAAAATCAATTAACGTATTAAAATGAAAGTAAATAAGGTCGGTGAGAAGTAGCATTTTGAATCACTTGAAACCACACAGCATTTAACGAAATTACATATTTTTCATTTATTAGAGTTGAATTTATGGACGTGGCTCATACATATATTTTTTGTGATTTTTTTTTTCCGATTCAATTTAGATCTTTGATTATGTATTTTGAAAAAAAGACTTTATCATGAATTTTAAACTATCTGATTAATCTAATTTCATATAAAAAATTATGGGTTTAAGTCTTTATGGAGACGGAACTTGTTATTTAGGACATGATTAATTAGTTTGCTGTTTAAAAAAAAAATTAGAACGTTTATAAAATTATAATTATGTGTTCTTTACCTTACATTTTTTTTAATAAAAGTAGAAATCTAGCTAAATAACGAAAAAAAAATATACAAATCATCCCAAAAAATTTTATAATAGAAAAAGATCACAAATGGTAAAAACAGTAATTTATACCGATTTTTACAAAAAAAATTGTTGTGTCCCTCCTATTTTCTAAATGTTTATTCCAACAATTTAGGGATTGTTTGTTTTAAAAAAAACCCGCTTGTGACCCTTTCTCGTTGCACAAAACATGTACAACACTTGCCCTTTCGTATCTGTTTGTTTTTTAAAAACTTACAAAATTTTATTTTTTTATTAGTTAACATTTTTAATTGAATATACAAAACAAAAATAAATATAGTTAATAAAATAAATAAAAATAAAACAGGGCGGTTACAAAGGGACCTTATCCAAATATTCTAATATAAGAAAGGGACGGAATTTGTAAACTTCACAGGGGACTTAAGGGTAACTTAGCATAAAATTCAAGGTCTGGAATGCAAAATGGAGCAAAATATATCAGATACATTGAACCTGGACATCATACCATTTCACTGCCTATATATTTCAAAACCCTAATCAAGGAAAAGATCAAAGGACGTACGCCAACTAAATTCACTCAAACACGAACAACCTTTCCTTCTTTGTTTTTGTAAAAACTAAAAACTAACGGCCCTAAGCGAGCAGTTCCGATGGCGCAAGTGCAAAACCACGGCCATGCCACGTCGGCGGAGATGGTGGTAGATCATGATCAGGAGGAGGTGTTGAGAAGGAGGAACGAGGAACTGGAGAGAGAATTGAAGAGGAGCATGGAAAGAGAGGAGAAGATGAAGATGGAGTTGCAGAAGATCTGGGAGAGGCTGCGGGTGGCTGAGGATGCGGAGGAGCGCCTTTGCTCGCAGCTTGGTGAGCTTGAAGCGGAGGCCATGGATCAGGCACGTGATTACAGAGAGCGTATTATCACGTTAATGGAACAGCTGTCGGCAGCTCAGAAGCTTATACAATCGGCTTCACTTCACATACCTTCATCATCAATGGCTTTGTAAATTGAACACTACTTGTAAATTATTGTTTGTGTGAACATGTGTTTTACATAAGAAATAGCATGTGAGATTGGTTGATTAATTGTTTATTTGTCTGTGGGTATGATTGGGATCAAATTTCTGTAGAGAATTGGATTATTCTTGTCATCGGATCGAGACTTTATTTTTGTAATAAATTATATATATTAAGTCTGGTGTTGTGTCTTCCTCGTTGGATTGTAAATTGGGGGAAATAATATTAAATTCCACTTGATTCCTACTATCAATTTAAAATCATCAAATCTTTTTGTAATCTCCGATCATTTTTTCCGAAAAGGAACTATCCTAATGAAGGTATTAATACCAATTTTCATGCACCAACTAATCACCATTGTAAACATGAAACTTTGCCTAATGCATTGAGGTCACTGCAGACGAACATCCATTGTCACGATCAAAAATACAGATTTCTTACAATAAATAGATAGAATACAATGAAATCCAGTATTTATATTTAAGAAGTCTTTTCTATATGATTGTTTTGTTCAGTATGTTAGATAATTGTAACCAAATAAACATATTTTAAGAAGTATTTTGTTGAAGGGTAAAATGGTCATTTTTAGTGGTCAGAATAGTTAATCAGATGCATAATCAAACAACATGGTTTCAGTCAGGAGCAGATGCAGTTAAACCTTCATATACAGTCAGACCCTTAGTCAGATCTGACTCAGTCAACAATTATCAAACAACCCCTTATATTGTTATAAATATATTTTATTTGGATAAATCAATTTTTTGAGTAGAAAAATTGTTCATTTCGAAATAGATATGAATTATTTAATTATTATTTAGATTTAACAATTTCAAAAATTGTTTTTTATTTGAAATGTTGAAGAATTTTGAATTGTATATTAGATTTTCGGACCAATATATATATATATATATATATATATATATATATATATATATATATATATATATATATATATAGAGAGAGAGAGAGAGAGAGAGAGAGAGATAAATATGTTCAAAAAAAGTATTCTAATTAATTATAATTAATTATTATGTGGATGTAGGAATGATTGTGGGTCAATCAAGATTAATTAATTAATTAATTAAATCAATAAGGGTTATTTAGTAATTTGGTAAATAAATTCCATAAATACTCCCTAAATCAACATTGACTTTTAACCTAATTTATCCCTTGTTTATCTATAGTTTGTTCCTATAGCACCACCACCCGGTTTGCCTAATACCACCGACTTTCAAGGTTCTTTTTTCTTGCTTGCGAGTATGCGACTTCTCTCTGCCTCCTATTCTTGTTGATCGATTGACTCTCGCCATCAAATTAAGCCACGAAGAGCTAAGTAGGTAAGCAACTTATTTCTATAAGGTTATTGAGTCTTCCCTCTTCCTCCTGTTCTTGTTGATCGACGACTTTCTTTACTGAATTTATGATTGCTTCTTGACTTTGCTAATTTGTGATTTCTGTAAATTTTTTAGTGTTTCTTTAGCTTTTGGTTATATTTGTTACCATGTTATCTAAATCAACGCCTCTTTAACCAACAAAGACCGATCGAATCCCTAGAATCTCAAAGGGATTCGCTTGTGAAATCCAACAAACCTATGCTCCGAGCATGCTGAATATGCTTAGCCCTACTCAGACCCTTTATGAGGGGGTTTGCTGGGTTATCTTCAGATGACATCCTCTTTACAACAAGATGGCTTTCTTCTACTCTATGTCTAATGAAATGGTACTTTCTGTCGATATGCCTGGTTTTACCATGATCTCTGGTTTCCTTAGTTAAGGCAACAACTCCATCATTATCGCAGAACAGTTCCATAGGCTCCTAGATGGTTGGAACAACTCCGAGATCCCCGATGAAGTTCCTTAACCAAGCTACTTCTTTAAATGATTCACTAACTACTATGTACTATGATTCACAAGTAGAATCAGCCACCGTATCTTGCTTGGAACTTTTCCAAGTAACTGCTCCTCCATTCAGTAGAAATACCCAGCCAGATTGAGAACGAAAGTTATCTCTATCCGTTTGAAAGTTGGCATCACTGTAACCATTTACTCTCAAAGTATCATTGCCACAAAATACGAGGACCCAATCTTGTTGGATTAGTGTCTAAGCACGTAACTATATTTGGTATGTACTTGACCCGGTTGTGCATGGTCCTTTTGGGTTGCCTTCACCAAAGCAACTTGACAAGGTAATTTATGGAGAGAGAGGATATTATGATTTATTAATATATTATATGATTAATATATTAAAGGGAAAATCATATTATTTAATTAATATTATTCATAAATTAATTAGGAGTTGATTTGGTGGCTAAAAGAGATTAATTAAATATAGGGGCTTAAACTGTCAAATGTGCGATAGTTGGTTTTGGGCTAGGAAACCAAATGGATTAAAGGGTGAATGAAATTATGATGAGTTTTGGGCTAGGAAACCAAATGGATTAAAGGGTGAATGAAATTATGATGAAAGTCCATCATAATTTCATCCATAGGCCTTATTCCAGAAGGTTCCATGGGTTGCTTGGTGATTAAGCTGTCCATTAGGGTTTTAACTGAAACCCTAGCAGCCTACAGTATAAATAGAGACCCCTACATTCAATTTTCGGCCACTTGCTTCCAAGAAAACCCTAGGGTCGATTTTAGCATCTCTACCCTCTCTTATATTGCCTCCTTGCTTGTGTGGTGTTTGTAAGCCATTAGACGAGTTACACTTGTGACTCTAAGCTCTAAGAAGAAGAAGATCCATGATTTTGAAGAGGTAAACATCTAGATCTGGTATATCTTGATATTTTCGAAATATGAATGCTAGATTAGGGTTTGTAAGTCTTGGATACAATGCATGTACAATAGAGAAACCTAGATCTAAGCATTAGGGTTCGCATGAGCACATAAGAAGGTTTTTGTGTGTAAAACCCATCAGTGGTACCAGAGCTATGTTTGGTTTCTATTGTATTGATGCCTTGTTTATTTGTTCAAGCTTTAAAATTGTTTTTTTGCTAACTGCCTGATGAACTCGACGAGTTCCATGAGGAACTCGACGAGTAGGTTGAACTCGACGAGTTCCAATGTGGACTCGGCAAGTTTAGCTGTCAGACAGAAAGATTTTCGGGATTTCTTGTTGTTTTGCTGAAGTATAATTGCCAAAGCTGTTTTTTAATGATAAAATCCGAAATTTATTGTATTTAAATGATTATCCTTACCAAAACAAAAGATAATTTCAAATCATTTGAATAATAGTTTCTTTATATGATAAATGTTGATTGTTTAAATTATTTGGAAATTATCTTGTGAATAAAATTAGATTAGGTCAAATATAGATAATCACAAAATTAATTGTTTAATTTATATTATTTTTTATTTGATCCTTTGTGTTTTGAAAAGTTCAAAACTTGCCATCAAGTTTTAGAATTTAAATTTTCGATTAAAAGTTTAATTTTGAATTATTTAAATTTTCAAACCCTTAGAATTTTACAAGTTTAAAATTCAACCTTATACTTTATTTTATATATATATATATATATATATATATATATATATATATATATATATATATATATATATATATATATATATATATATATAAGAGTAAGCTAGTCTTATCGCTAGTAGGCCTTATTCACGAAGCCGATCTATAAGGGAGTATAAAGTTGTTGCCTATAAAATGGTGCTTAATGGGTGTCCACTCTCACCCACTGCTTCCTTGATTGGTGGAGGGTCGTTAGCCGAACGGATAAGATAGGGCATTTAGTTCCTCATGATAAGTTAAATGAATATTACAAGTAACTAAATGTTTTTCAAATTTTCAATCTTAGTTACTTTAGGGTAAAATGTGAAAGTGATGCTATTCCATGGAATTGCATTTCGTACCCTTATCAAACGTTAGTGGAGCATGTGTGGTTAACCGACACACTAATTTGGGATTGACATTAGTGGCGAAGGGTGGCTCGATGTTTGTCATAGATCAATGGAGCGTGCGTGGCTAACCAACACATTGATTAGGTGATAGTGACATTGAGTGCACCATGCTGATTCGCATGGTTATTCACACCTTATTTGTGATCCTCAGTATCCCAATCACAAACTTGAAGGGCATATCAAGATTTAAACATGCCATTGAAAAGTTCAATGAATCTCAAAGATTCAGGAGTTTTCAAAGCATTTAAAACTAAATCTTCTTTTGTTTGGTGGAAAATTAGTGAATCGTCATTTGCTTACCTTCAAATTATTTGCTTTTAGATTACGACATCCTTTTCTAAGTTGTAAATAATGTTGTCGGATCCTAGCCCTAATTTCTCATTTGGGTGATTAATTGGGGATTCATTCCAATCAAACTTGTCCTTTTCTATTTCCAGATGTCTAACGAAAACAACAACAACACTCTTGCAACTACTGGTGGATTCTCACTCATGGGTTTGTGTGGGAAAGTGATCTTTAATGGCAACAACTTCAACGAGTGGATCCAGAAACTGCCACTGCTGAAGAAATCGCTGCCCATGAGGCACATGAACGTGATGCTACGAAGGTCCATTGCATCATGCTCGCGACTATGAATGCAGAACTCCAAAAGTCCTACGAGGACGTGTATCCATTCGATATGCATCAAGATTTAATGGATAGGTACCACCAAAGCGCAAGGCAAGATCGCTATGAGATCATCACTAACATGATCACCGCTAGGATGGGGGAGTGGAGAATCCCTAACCTCGCATCTACAGAAGATGCAAAGGTATGTTGATCATCTTCTAAAGTTAAATGTTAACTTTGATGAGGAATTGGCTATCGACATCATCCTCCATTCCCTGCCTCTATGTTACAACCAGTTCAGAATGACCTACCACATGAACAAAGAAGAGGTAACTTTGAGCAAGCTTCAAGGGTTGTTAAGGACTGCTGAGAGCAACCTTAAGGATAAATCCGTTGCATCTACTCCTACTGATTCGGCCCCTGTGTTGGCAATTGGGCAAGGAAAGGGTAATAAGAGGAAGGTTTCTTC